AGATGTGTATAAGTAAAATGGATTAAATAAGCATTTGAAACGTGACCCCTACCTTGCCAAAATTGCCTCCTGGACCATTTTCAAAAACCTTTAATAGAAGATCGACCCATTTTGATTTCGTCGGAGAAATCTGACCCCTCGTCGGAGGCATCGGCCCCCAACCCCCACCCCTTCTCTTTCGCCACCCATGATCTAACTGGTTGCAACAATAGAATGATTAATTTCGGGCGAAATCAGTTGTTTAAATATTGTCTTGATGACGTAACGTTCAGTGGCGAATTGAAGAGCAACCCGGCCGCCCCTCCCTCTAAATTGTTTTCGAAAAATAATAGAAAATAATTTTTAAGTCTGAGAGAGCATTTTATAGCATGTCGATCCAGAGTTGCGATAATCATACATTTATTTGCCTCAGCCCCAGCCATGGTGGGGCTCAGGTGGTAGAGACTCTCCATCTGTGAAACTCCTGCATCCACCAATGATATGTCATTTATTTTGCCTTTAAAACGTTTAGAATACAATGACAAACATAAAATAAGCACATCTAAAATCATACGATGGATTGACGACCGGGACCCAAACAGGGCCCCAGTCCCAGAAAGCCACAGGGCCCTCGACCCCAGCGTTACGTAACTGGATATGGTAGTTTTTGTAATTGTCTTACCTTAGTGTCAACCGTGGTGGACTGAGGTGGATGATAGTTTTCATAAATATTATATCCCTAAGTCCCGTTTTCGGGCATCTATAAACTCAAATTCTAAAATTTACTCATCTACGCCCCAAAACCATGGTGGGGCACAGTTGGATATGGTTGTTCCTTCGTAATTTAAAATATTATTTGTCAAAAATGGAAAGAAATGAAAGAAAATTTTTAAGTTTAATTTCCGGGCGCAAAAGGTACAAAATACTGAAAATTTTCGCACATCACCGCCAACCATGGTGGCGCTCACTTCAAAATACTTTGACTTGATTAAGGCATCGATATTTATTCAGACAAGAACAATATCAATGTCTCAAGCATGTCAAGGTGTCTTGCAGTACTTTTATGTCTGTCGACCATTCTTTATACAGTATATACATAAGTTGCATGTTTTAGTAGTATTAGAATACTTATACAGTATTATGATTTTTGAAAAGGTTTTCCAATATACAGGAATTTACTTTTACACAATAATCATCATTACTGACCTAATCGGCTGTTGCATTTCATCATTAATGTCACACTTGAAACTCGAAGTATATAAACCGTTTAGAAAGCATGAATACAAACATGTGTCAAACCACCACCCACCCCCAAGTACTGAGGTGCAGTTGTTTTGTATATTCTTATAGTTGTCTTTGTCGTATGCTGAGAATCTTGCACTGAGTTCTTTCAAGCTTACTGGACTTATGTCTAACAAGTAAATTTTTAATTAAAAAAAAGTTTTTGTTATGTAAACCCAGCCTACATTCCAGGTTATATTATGATTGTGTTTCAATATTTCAATATTTTTTTCTTCTTATACTTGATTTTTCTTGTGATTCTTGTTCTTGTGAACAAATTTACAAAGATAACTCTCCTGGTCGTCCTATTGTCTCAACTTGCAACTGTCCTACAGTCATCATCAGTGAATACTTGGATAGCGTGCTCTCTCCTATCGTCAAGAAACTTCCTACCTACATTAATGATACTAACGATGCTATTCGCACATTCAAGGGATTTGAATTTACCGGCCGCCATAAGTACGTCTTCACTATGGATATTACTTCACTGTATACATCCTGTCTCTTATACACATCTAGATGTGTATAAGAGACAGGAATATAGCAAAATACATGAAATAAAATATAATATATATAATATAGGCCTATAATAAAAAA